TGCGTCGCGCGCGAAAACAAGCTGTTGCAGCCGATGGAAGCTTCGACATCAAGACAAGAGAGCATTACCACAACCGCGTATTGCTGGCTACTGCTTCAAGGTGGCTTTCTAGAGTGTTCCGAGAACAAAACATTTGTTTCAAACGTACAGACATGCGGCTTCCGGCGCTGAAGTCATGAATTAGGCATCTTTCGAGATATGGGGCAAATCGAGAGTCGTCAGTATTGAGAGAACGATGGAACTGATGGCTGCCATTCACAAGAGAACTGGAAGGAAGTGTAGCACCTTGAGAAAGAGGGAGCTTCGGTGGTAAAAACATTGGACCAGTCGACGTCGCTGCGTCGTGCGCTCAGAAACAAGCCGATCGAGGCTTCCACCTCAAGATCTCATTTGACAACCAAACAAGCTACTCGTTGAAGTCCGTTGGTGTTGGAAGGATTCGGTGCAGGCAGAGTCGTGGCGCTTGCACTGCTCGTAGAGTCTGCTATCTTGCTATCATCAACCGCGCTTTGCTGACGCGTCGAAGGCCATTTCAGTCGTTCACCAAACGAACGCAGGAGGAGGTCGACTATAACTACGGTTCTGCTGTCGTCGTCCTTTGCAGCACGTCCATCAGTTTGTCTACTTAGTTCGACCGCGGCCAGCAACAGGTCACGAGGCCTCGAGGTCGCTCCGTACGTGTCGTCGGCGACCATCGGTGAGCGGACAGAAGATGCGATGGTCGGCTTCTCCGAGGCTAATAGAGCGAATACCTGCATGTACTACTAGCTCGTCGATGTCCTCGTGCATATCGATCGTCGTTAGTAGTTGGATCATATTAGTCAGCAACGCCTCGACATGACTACGTCGCCAGATCGTCGGTCGTTGGCATGCGATACGAGGGCGTGGGTCTGCGTGGCGCGTTGGCTGATGCCGCATCGGCCTTGGCTCGAAACGGGAGGCGCTCTGGGTAGGTGAGGTATGCTGCGATGTCGCACGTGCTGAAATCTCCGGCGCCGGGGCCGCGCGCAAGACGAACGTCGCCGTTCTCGCCCCAGTCGGTGCCCCACGCGCTGCGCACCTTGAAAAAGTCGACGGGCGGTAGCGACAAGCCGACGTCTTGGGTGCCGTAGCCAACGACGAACACGGCTTGGTCCAATCGCCCAAGTGGGCACCATGAGAGGAGGCCGCCGGCGTACTGTCGCCACACATAGTTGTTGGTGGTTGCAAATGCCACAACAGGCTGCATCTGGAGCACCTGGAGGAGGGCGGCCTCGCCACGGGCTTCTACGATCTCGTCGACGTAAAGCGAGATCGACCCGGCGCACTTGGCGTTGTCACTGCAAAACGACGCAACGCCCCAGTAACCCGAGGTGTATGGGATCGCCTTCTCAGTGCACAAGGCACTGGATCGCTGGACCAGCCACTGCATGCCTTCGAGTGGGGTCCCTGGGCCTGAGCAGCTGTCTGGGCCGCCAAGATAGGTGCAGCTCAAGACTTGCTGGACCGAGAGGTCGATGGCTTGGCCGGTCGCGAGGCAGTGCGCAGACGACACGACCGCCGCTGCCATAATCGCCCAATCGCTTCGACACTTGCCGATCCATTTCGCTGGCCCGACACATGTCGATTGCTTGGTCCAGTCCACCGAGGCGGCGACGGCTCTGCCGGCAACACTTCGATTCAATGCGACGGCTGGCGGGAGAGATACCGACGGTGGCACCGGCGGCGACGACGACGCAAACCGGGCAAATTCATTCTCCGTGAGCAACGCAAACTTGGTCAAGTGACTGAACGTCGCGTATGGGTTGGCTGCTTGCAAAGTGGGAAGCTTGTCCTTGGTCGCCTTCAAGCGCCGAAGAAGATCGTCGGTCGTCAAGGTTCCTCGCACCAGCTTCATGGCCGCGCGTAAATGGTCGTCATTACCAAACTTCTTTTGCCAGAGCGTCAAGTCGCGGTTAAGATCGCGGCGCTCGTCGTCCGAGATGTTGAAGGTAGCGAGTGTGACCGAGAGAAGAAGCGGTAGCAAGCTGAGGAAGCGCATGCTGAGCAGGATGAAGTCTGAACGTACGAGGGTGCAAGGCAAGCGCGACGCGCTTGGAAACCGACTGATCGCAGCATCAATCGAGAAAACAACCACGCGCACGACTCGCTCCTTGAGGCGGTGCTGCTGG